TCTTTCCCTCTCTCTGTCCCTTCCTGGCAAGCACATACACCCTATGACAAACCAAAAAAAACCAAAACAAAACAAAACAAAATACAACAACAAAAATATCATATCTGATAGCTGATGCTATTAATATTCACATGAAAACTGTAGGTAAATAATACTGGTCACATGGTCAGAATAGTACATGAAGCTGCTCTGAAATTGAGAAGATATAGACATGGGATGGACTTAGTCTGACCTGAAAATAAACTTTAAATATAACTGTGGTCACCATCATTATTGATATTGAGGAGAAGGGGAAATATTTCCTCAGACCACCCCCGTTCAGCATATTGCCACTTCATACCTTTACGTTTTTATTTCTAATGCAGCATATTTAATATTTCTATTAGTGTATATCATTCCAATTCCAAAAAAACTTTGAAAATTTTGAATTATTTTCTATTACTCTACTATTTTTTTGCTAATTAGTTGTTTTGTATATTTGTTCTGTTTTTGAAATGCCATTTATATTTCTATTTATAATTTTCCTTCTCTCCTTTAATCTTTTTATTTTCACTTAGAACCAAATTGTCCCACTTGAGCTTTTAATTTCTGTCCTTCCTCACATCTGATGCTTCTAGAGAGACTGACCATAAATGCCAATATGATAATTATCCTCCCTTAAATAGTTAAATGTACTGACTGCTGCTTAAAATGTTAAAAATCTTCATGATACTTACAAAAATTACAGGAAAATGTAGTTTAGATATCTTAATAGTGTCATCTTCACCTTTTATGTGCTAATAAATGTTCTGTTTAATAAACTCTTCTATGTACTTAATTTTTTCTCCCCTGTAACCCTCTGTGGCTTCCTTTCTTTCCCTTTCTGTATCTCTCTCTTCCCTTTCAGGCACTAAATACCCTGGAAAAGCCATGATGAATTTTTTTCCAGGGACTGGCTTCCATTTTGAGGTAGAATCGAATAACCTCTGTACCCAAGCTCTTAGGCTTCTCCTTTCCACTCAACTGATGCAACCACCTTCCACCTGATGACCTAAGACTCTGTATAAGACCTTCTCTTCTGAGATGGCACAATGAAAGGGTATCGAGAATGAAAGTATTCATTTGTTCCAGCTGAGACTTACCATTAGCATTTTCCTTCCTGTTTGCATATTACATAAATAGAAATATAAATGGCATTTCAAAAACAGAACAAATATACATTGTTCATCTATTTGTATCTACATTTATGGGCCCGTGTTTGCTGATATCAGTTTATTTATCACTATGATTGTTTTGCTGTGTGCTTTTCTATTTATGTCTTCTTTGTGTTGTGAACAACACACCTATCTCTCTCTCATGTCCCTTGGAGATGGCTCTATGTAGAGAAAGACAGAGTCTCATTTTGTCAGTGGAACTTTATCATCCTATAAATTACTTACTTAGTCCCTGGGAACCCTCTTCCAGCAAAACTGGGAGCTGACTCACCTACCTCTGCTGGCATCTGAGAAACTGTTTACAAAGGACTGGATGTCACAGACTGCCACCTGCATGTAACTGAATTCTCAATAGCTGAGACCATGATATTTTATAATAACTCTAGTCTCTTGTGAGGAACCTCCATGCAATGTACGGCATCTTGGGACGTGGGGTGTGGAACAGAAAATTATCATACCTCAGAGGACAGGTGTTATGTTTTGGGGTCAGAAACACCTTCTGGTTTGTTCTGTAGGACTTTCTTTATGGTGTGTGGTGACTGTGCAAATTATCAATTATTTAAACAATTTGTCCTGGAAATGCCTTACAAGGTTCATGGACCTATGTGATATACCAATGAATATCTAGAATGGTGACTAAAGAATTCAATATGTATTTGGTTGTTGTATAATCAGTGTAAAAGAAGACTCTGTATAGTGTGCAGGCCACTTCCTCTTTCTGGCCACTTAATTTATTGGGCTATTAATAGAAGGTACTAACATTTTTATTATTAATTATACTGTGACTCTGCAGAACAATATAGATTTTGCCTCTTGCATTTCCAAATTGCATTTATTTAATGTTGATTGCTTCATTACTTAGGACCCTGTGCCATCCATTGTGCTACCCCTCCATAATGGCTTCAATGATTTGCTCAGATTCTTTCTGTGCTGCATTAGCTATAACCAACAATATCAGGCTTAATCAGAGCACTCATGAAAATGTGAATGACCATTTGTCTTTGTTCATGTCAAATTTACTGTTAGACACTTTTTTACCTACATACAGAAAAGCATATCTTCCAACCACTTGAATTATGTAGGGTCTAGTAACTGCATTTCCAATAGGAGATCTCTTTTCTTTTTGTTCATTTTTTTCCTCTTCTTTTTCTTTCTTTTCTTTGAGAGATTTTTGCTATAGTATGTGCTCTCTGGAGAGACAGAGTGTGTTCTCTGAAGAGACAGAGAGACAATGAGAAATCACCCCTCAGGGGAAATGGCCACACTGCAATTCCTTCCCCCATTCTCCTGTTGGGATTTGGGCACCCATGCTCAAATGCCTGGCATGTGCGTCAAGCTGCTAGGTCCAGGACTTGAACAAGGGTCAAACACGTGGAAGTCCTGTGCCTTACCAACACCTCCTGGCCCCTCCAGAAGTTCTCATTCAAATCTGGCTGCATTATTTTATTTCATGCAGTTTCACCAGCAATGAGTGATGAGCATATGGGCAGACTAAAAAATATATATATTTTCCTTCATATATGAAATGCCATTTCCTCATCTTGTGTTTTGTAACACTGCTACAGGGCAGCATAATATCGCTCTATCAATCAGAAGACATAGATTGAAAGTACTTGGTAAAATTGGAGAGCAACCGCAGCAAACGCTCTGAAGTACAGGTGCAGTCACTTCTGTGGGAAGGCTTGAAGGTGCGCTGGAGCTGGTGCAGAGGGTGGGATGGTACCAGTGCCAGGGTTAGGGGGTGGCAAAGTCAAGAATGTCTGTTGTTGCTACAGGCATCTTCGGATATTGTAGATAGTCAGCAGCATGAGAATTTGAGCACAGATGGGTAAGAGCCAGTGACTGCCCTAACACATGGCACAAGGCTCAAGCTCAGGAGTGGAACATTAATAGACCAGATCCCTGAATTCATCCTATGTCTGAATGAGAATCACCCAAAATTAACAATTTACACACAGCTATGTTGTTCAGTTGGACTTTTATTTGTTCACCAAGCCATTTCCCTTAAATCAGGTCCTAGCCATGCAATCCCAGGACAACCTGATAGGTATGGGTCCCAGAACACTTTAGGGAGAACAGTCTTCTCCACAAGCCGGGAGATGTAGCAAGAAGAGAGTCACAAGAGTTTTCTGAGAAGAATAATTGGGGCCACATACGCTTGGTCCAGGCTCAGGTAACATTGCTGAGCCCAACTGGTCTCATACGCCCAAAGTGGATTTAGAACATTTTGAGGAAGCTGTACCAAAACACAGCGATTTTTTAAAGAATGGAGCCCAGGAGAGAATCTGCTCAGCTAAACCTAAGCTTGGTATTGCTGTTTGTGAATCACTTCAGGCCAACATTACTGCATAATTCATGCTGTGTACTATATTATGCTTATCTTAAATTTCCCCCACTTCTATGAATATATTCAATCAGAAAGTTTCTTTATAGTTGTACTTGTGCACACCTCTTCATGTCACTGAGAAGAAGAAATCTTTGTCTTTATTTTACATGTTTGTGTGTCGTACAGATATTGAGGACCAGAGTGCTGGTCAGTGCTTACTGTTCAGTCCCATGGTCCACAATGATAAAGACTATTCCAATTTAAATCACTGTTTCAAAAATATATATATTTTTGTCAGAAGACATATATGCTCCCAGAGAGACAGAAAGAGAAAGGGAGAAACCCTCCTCCTCTTCCCACATAAGATATAGTCGTATTGCAATCCCTTTTCTCCCATTTCTTTATCCTGTTGATATTTGGGGGCACACATGCAGATGCCCCTGGTATGTTTTTCAAATACGGATTCAAACCACAGAGTTGTGTTTAGCCAGTGTCAAGTTTCTGGCCAAGAGTGCCCGAAGTCAGAGAAATTAACAGGTAATGTTGCCTTTTTAGTATTCCTAGGCATATCTGTTTGTTTGTTTGTTTGTTTCCTAATACCCTTCTCTGAAGGACTTTTGAATATTTTGTGTACTGTCAACAGACCTAGCCAGTGGTTCTAAATCATAGGACATGAAGGTGACCCTTCTGATTTTTCAGCAAGGCTTCTTTGTTCACAAACTTCAGTTTGGTGCTTTTTGGACTTAAGTTAAAACAAACCACATTCCCCAGCCTATGTGGAGTTTGAAAATAGAACCAATTATTGAAAATCTACAGGATCAATAAATTATACTGAGATTATTTTGAGACAAATATCAAGACCAGCCTTACGGTTAAATTATAGAACGAGCCTGATTTCATTTTCTGAGTTTTGTAAAAGATTTAAAAGAGTGTACAAATTATTGTAAATTGGGCTATATGCAGAAATATCTACTCAAACTTTTCACCAAATTATTCTTTCTGTATAAATATCTTCACAACCCGCTCTCGGATCTGTTTGGTCC